AATTGGTTGGGGAAGGTGTGCCTCAGGTATCGCTGCTGGGCCCCATACTTTATAACATTCTATTAGCAGACATTGCAGTAGCTAATAGTGACGTCAAGCTATTAATCTATGCAGACGACATACTACTCCTCGCCTCTAGACCTAGGGCTTTTCAAACCAATACCTTACTGAATAAAGAACTAGTGCACCTCCACAAGTACTTCAACAATTGGAAACTTCGACCGAACATCGCCAAGTGTCAATGCATAATTGTGAAGGGTCTTAAGAAATTCTTACCTCCTGCCACAAAGAAGTATGTACCCAGTATAGCCATCAATAGGCAGAAAATACAATCCTATAGCACGCTGAAATACCTAGGTGTAGAGTAAAAATATAAATTTGTGAAAAACTTAGATAATTCAAATTAAGTTGTCTGATATCATCATATAATTGATGATAAATAAACAAATTTTATTACAAAACATTTTAAATACTAAAATTACTTCATAAATTACAAAAGTGTGATTTTACTAAACAGTAATTCTATTGCGTGTAGCAAAACTGTAAAATCTTAAATAAAATATTAAATACTCACAAATTCAAAAAACATTATCATAAAATTAATTGAGTCTGTATTAGCGGTTTGTAAAAACAAGACGCTGCAATAATCTTCCCATAAAACAATTCAAATTAATTTGGTTGTCAGATCGAGTTGAATCGTTTTGTAATATTAATTGGAGCGAATACAGTTGAAATCAAAATTAAGGAGTTTGTACTGTGTGAATATGCAATTATGAGACATATGATGTCTGTTTTGCAAAGAAATGACAAAAAAGTGTGAGATAAGAATAAGTTTTTAAAACGATAATTAAAAAGTTTTTAAATTTATATTTATCATCTATATTTTTCCATATATCAATTTTTCATGGTACGGTCGTGATTTTTGTTGCGGTCCGCGGTTTTTGAAGAAAATACCTGCAAAGAGGCGCAATATTAAATATCAAACTGATAAACACTTGTAAGACTAAATTACTTATCGGGAGTGATAGTGATATCGCGGCCGTAACCAAAACTCTCAACGACAACAAAATTGCATGGTTTTCATATGAAAATAAGCAAAATAGACCAATCAAGGTCATGGCGAGAAATTTACACCGAAGCACCGAACCCTCAGCGATAATTTCAAGTCTATCGTCAAAAGGATTCAAAATAATCAACGCTGTAAATAAGCTTAAGTATAAAACGAAAGAGTCATTAAATATGTTTTTGCTCACATTCGATTCCACCCAAGATGTTAAAAAAATCTACGAAATCAAAACAATTCTTAATACACCTGTCAAGATCGAACCAGTCAAAAGTTCTCCACATATTCCTCAATGTACATCCTGCCAATCTTTCAACCACACAAAAAACTTCTGCTCAAAAGTCCCACACTGCGTTAAATGCACAGGCTTACATAGCACGATTGACTGTCCTAAACCTGCTGAAGAAATACCGAAATGCTGCAATTGTGGTGAATCTCACCCAGCTAACTACCGAGGATGTATAGTTGCCAAGCAACTCCAAAAAATTAGGGATACACAAAGAAAACGAAATCCTCAAATCACTAGTAATGTAGATGCTGCGGATACAGCAATGCATACGCAAAAAAGTAATCAACTTTCGCTCAAGTTCTGAAAAGTGGTTCTACCGAGTTACCATCGACTCAAGATACTAATAGCTTACTATTAAAAATCCTGGACAAACTTAATGCTCAGGAAACTTTTAATAAGCAACTTGAGAGCCGCCTTCAACTCCTTGAAAAGAGTACAAAAATCTAACATGTCTAAACTTACCAAGATTATGCTTTGGAACGCCAACGGGTTGTTTTAACACAAAAATGAACTAGAAGTGGTCCTCAAAACTGAGAACATAGATATATGCCTTATCGCAGAAACCCACTTCACGAATCAATCTTATTTCAATATAAATGGTTATGATGTGTACCACTCAACTCATCCAAACAACTGTGCCCGTGGAGGCAATGCCGTCATAATCAAAACGAATATTAAACATGAATACTGCAAGCTGTCATCTGATGAATTTCAAATGGTAGCAGTTAATGTGGAATTCCAGTACCAAGTCTTGAATGTTGCTCCTTTGTACAGTCCACCAAGACACTCTGTCAAGTCCTCACAATATGAAATACTCTTTAAACACTTAGGCGAAAAATTCATCATCGGAGAAGACTTTAATGCACATTGGGGTTCACGCCTCACAACAACCAAAGGAAGAGAACTACTGAGAGCAGCGAACAGTATGCACTGTGACTTTTTAACTAGTGGAACGCCAACATATTGACCCACTGATTCGTCCAAAATTCCTGATCTTATTGATTTCTTCATTAGACGTAAAATTGCACCCACATATGCCCAAGTGAATACTATGTACGATCTCAATTCAGATCATTCTCCGGTTATTCTAGTTTTGGGACAACAAATGACCAAAAAACTTCCGTCACCCTACCTAACTAACAAATATACTGACTGGAGTTATTTTAAAGACATACTCGAGGCCGAAAATTATCTTCACGGTGTACTTGAAACTGTCGATGAAATTGAACTAGAAACCCTCAAAATCACGCAGGCAATACAACGTGCAGCATGTAGTTGTACCCCATCCATTCAACGACACAATCACGCTATCAAATTTCCTAATGAAATCGTATCAACTCTTCAGACGAAACGTGTTCTGCGTCGTAAATGGCAACAATCACGATCTCCAACAGATAAAGCGGCACTAAACCGTATAACACAAAAGCTACGACGGAGAATTAAGCTTTTCAAAAATAGCTCGTTTAATAATTACCTTTCTCAGCTTTCAGATAAAAAAACGTCAGATTACTCTCTTTGGAAATGTACAAATAAATTAAAAAGACCTATCAGCCACATCCCAGCTATACGAGCTAACAACAGTAAATGGGCCCGAAGTGACTTAGACAAGGCAAACGTTTTTGCTGAATATCTTGAGGAATCATTTACGCCTAACTGCGGTCAAGATGAAAACACTTATGACGAAACAGACAATCGTTTGATTTTAGAACCTGAGGTTCAGATTCGTCCTGTTACTCCAATAGAGCTAGAACAGGAAATTCAAAAGCTGAAAAATAAAAAATCGCCAGGTTTTGATCTCATCACCGCCGAGGTTAAACAGCTGCGCATCATCGAGGGACACAGGAGAGTGCACTGTTCCAAGAGCGGGTAGTTGCACCATCGATGGAGTTCTTTCGTGCTCAACGTAAGAACTATGCTAGACACGAAAGTTGAAAAAATGCATGCCAAAACAGGCAATGCATTTGCAGATAAGTATAAATAGGAATTCAGGGTTTAAACACCCATCAGGATCGAGCCCAGTAAGATCCTGATTATGGCATACTGGAAGAAATTTACAACAATGATGATTTTCGGGCTGACGGATGTGGTATTCTGTTACCTGAGTATATGAGAGTGACATCGCATAGAAATGGCTTTCAGGTTAATGCCACATCTTCCTCCGTCCTTTTAAAACTTGGCAAGTCTCCAAGTACGTTCGATGTCTCGTCACTATTGAGTTGGTGGTATAGGTTCAGTTGAGAGTACTCCTGACCTGCGCCAGATCCTGGCTCTGAATACAATCTCCCATAAGGAATTGTGTCAACCCTCGCATGGCCTCCCTGCTTTGCAAAGATAACCATGGGGATCGTCATGAGCGACTATACAATCGAACATCGATAGCGGCTAGGAGTTTGGACCCAAAAAACATGAATAATAACAAAACACAAATGTCAACGAAAGTGCCAGTACAAGATGGCCTAAAGAAATCCACAATGGACGAGGGCACGCCAAAGGTGTCACAAAAAACGAATGGTGTGAATGTACAAGTGCCAATACAAGATGGCCTAAGAAAGTCCGCAATGAACGAGGGCACGCCAATGGTGCCACAAAAGACGAATAGTGTGCTGATTCTACCGGGAAATGAGTACAAAATGAAGAAGAGGTGAAAACATTTGAAAAATACGTAACCGCCATTAACAAAATAAAGCAAGCCATATTATTATTGAGTAAGGGGTCATGCACTGCGACCTAAAAGATCTATTGTGCCCCTTTGTCGGGTTAGAGTATTTCTCCAAGTCCGATTTCTTTAATGTAAGACAGTATGGATCCTATCTTCCCCAGTCTTGAATCCTTATGATCCATGAAATACCCTCCTAGGTGTTTCTATCGCTAATGCATCAGTGCCGGGCACTCCCCAAGCACATGGTATGCCGTTTCTCTCTCTCTTCCCTGCAGTATCTGCAGTCTGAGTTGGATTGAATTCCTAACTTCGATAGGTGATTATTCAATCTGCAGTGACCGGTCAGTAATTCCATAATAATTCTTATGTTAGTTTTTGATTGTAGTATGCAATCTTTAAAGCGTTTTAGGTTGTAAGTCCTTAAAAGCATTTTAGATTGTGAGAGTCCTGGTAGCATTAACCAATAGAGTTCTCTCTCTTTTTTCTCTGCGTCATTCATGATAATGGATAGAGCTCCTTTGCCTAGACCACAGAATGGTTCTGGGCCTATCATTCTTGATGCCGCGCCTCTTCTTGCAAGTTTGTCTGCCATTTCATTACCTTGGATACCAGTATGTCCCGGAATCCATAAAAGGTGCACCTGATTGATCCCAAGCAAGCCATAAATCGGAAAAGAAATGTCTCGACGGACATTAAAGAGGGCGTTCATGAACTGCAAATGCAGTTTGATTTGATGACCGTTTTCCACCCCTCCCACCTCGAAGGGACAAGTGAAAATAGCTGCCGACATGAAGAAACAGTCAAAGACCATGAGGAAGATAGAGGCAGAAGCAAGGAGGACCAGATCAAACAAGGATAGGGGTCCGAAGACAGAAGCCGTCCTTATAAAACCGACGGGAAGCCAAACCTACGCGGATATTTTAAAAAACCTTCGTTCGAACGTCAAGCCGGGCTATTCGGAAGTTAAAATTCGCGCAGTTCGGAAGACAATGTCGGGAGCTATGTTACTAGAGCTTGATAAAGCGACCAAGGCAAGTCTAGAGTTTTGCGAAAAAATTAGGAGCGCTTTGCAGGAAACAGTGGAGGTAACCGGGCTAACACCGACAACCACAATAGAGATAAGGGACCTTGACGCAATCACGACAACTGCTGAAGTCGAAGAAGCAGTCAACCGAATCCATCCAAATGGAATTGATCGATTGAAAGCCATGGTCAGTAAACCGAGTAATCGAGAATTGGTCAGAGCTTATGTGCAACTCCCAACTACAGCAGCGGAAAAGCTTCTCGAAGCAGGCTCAATCACTATTGGATGGATCAGAGCGAAAATGCGGATGCGCACTGAAACTAAGCGCTGTTTCAGGTGCCATGGCGTAGGACATATTCAAAGAAACTGCAAGGGTCCAGACAGAACGAATCTTTGCATCAAATGTGGTGCACCTGGACACAAATTAAAGGCTTGCACGAACCCTCCAAAGTGCTGCATTGTAGTGCGCATACACATATTGACACAGCACATAAATAATCTTCAGTTTATTCCCATACTTTGTTGCGATATTTATGCAACGGGAATTAAACACCACGCGATAAGCGTGTGCTGGCTAGTCAATAGTGGAATGTGCTGGCTAGTCAAATATGTTTATGCACACTTAATATAAACTGTATGTGCTTGCGCTGCGACGTTTTGCACATGTATTAGTATAAGTGTTATGTACATGCGCTGTGTCGCTATGTACATAGACGTTAAGTATAATAATTTTTAAGTACAGAATTCAATAAAGATTTGAACATGAAACTCGACGGTACTCTTCTTTTAATTACATGGCGACCGTGACATGTTTTCGGCGTTACTCGCTTTAAACAAGTTAAACAAATAGTTCAAAAAAAAAAAAAGACAGAAAAATACTATTATAAATTGCCAATTAAAATTGCTATTATTGCTATGAATGCTATTACAAAATAGCATTTAAAAACCATCAATTGTGCGCTTTGTGTTTTATATACAGAAAATAAGAATTATTACTTGTAATAAGAATTGTTGTAATACGTTGTAATAAGAATTATTACTTTAATTAATTATAATTTAATTAAATAATCAAACTGTCGAAGTAATCAAAAAATCGAACTATTACTATTATTAATTTAATTAATTATAATTTAATTAAATAATCGAATTGCCGAAAAATTCGTAATTGCGAAAAAAAAAAAAATATTGTTTGATGAAATGGCAAACAATATTGAATAAAATACGCTTCCTTAAAGAAACGTTTAACAAGTCATATAAATGTATTGCAATAGACAGACCTGTTAGTGCTACAACACTACACAAACACTGTACGTTATTAATACAGAGTTTAGAAAGTATTCGGGTACTTTTAAACGTACACTTTGATAGGTTCACAACCGCACACAAAGCGGAAGCAAGGAAAATCTTTGGAGACCTCCGTGAAAAAGCAATCAAAGTTACTTTAAAAAGAGGCATTAATATTGAAATACCCACTGTGGTGCCCATGACCTACATCATTGTTTAATATGACAAGTCATTGCATAAAGTTGTAAGGGCTAAATTTACATAAAACAAAATTTTGCCCTACATAAATAACACACACACCCACTCAGCGTTTAGTCCAAATAAATTGTTGAATTATAGAAATCTCTGAAATGAATGAATAAAAAATTTAAAAAAAAAATGAATTTTGTTTTGAAATCTGATACATATCTTGTTTTAAATTGGCCTTTGCACAGGAAATTTTAACAATAGCTGCCCACATTGCGCACTACTGCAAAACGTGGAACTAGGGGAAAAGAAATGTAAATATAAAAATATTCAATTAAAATAGAAATACACACCTGCTAACATATCACCACAACTTGTAGTCCAAATTATTAACTTAGTACGATTAAAATATTAATTTATTTATTAGAAATTATTAACAATTTTATTTAAATAAAACAAGAAACACCACACGAAAAGTTGGAAGAATTATCGAATCAAAACATAACAAACAAATATCAGAAACGTCAATAGGAATTCGCCGCAAAGAGATAAGCAAGATCTGCTGAGCGCACAATTTAAAGAACAGTACGAAAGCAAGACATACAAACGGGAAAATAAACAAAACTCCACCGAAACAGCAGAAAACAATTGTATGTGCGCTACACAAAAAGCTCGTCTGATCGGTATAAAAGACGACGCATTTTTTGGTAAGGCAGTGAGTCTTGTATGATCACTAAGTGGCATTATATGTCAACTAATAAAATAATACAATAAAATATTATCTGACACAGAGGCGGTGTTAAGTCAATGTGTATAACTAATACAAAAGTATATATATAATCGTTTACGAGCGTAAGGCGGTTTTAAGTCAACGCGCTTGGACACCATTATATGTGTATTATATAAATCAAACATATATTCCTCAATATCTTTCTTTTTTTTTATTATCCGAACAGGTGAACATAGAAGCCAATTACAAGACCAGAATAGACCATTTAGAATCCCTCCGAAATAGTCATTGGAAGTAATCCCCTTGAGAGTTTTCCAAAGAATCAACTGCCACTGACGTGCCGTCCCAGTCATAATACAAATTTTTTTCCATTAATAATAATAATAATTATCACATTTAAATACTCTTTATATGTCATTGAATTTTTTTTTATAAATAAATAGTTCTGAAACTATAACCACAATCTTTTATTTGAGAAGTCCTGTTTTTGCAAATAAAAATTTATTGTAAACGACTCCTGGAAGGGGCTGAGGTTACCCCGGCAAAGGATATAACGAAACGGAGAATACGTGTCGTTACAA